GGACTCTCCAGCTTTAGTAAATAAACCCCTATGTTTCCAGTAATCATTGCTCAGGCAGGTTGGAAAATCTGTACCTTGGTGGTTCGATCATAATTACAAAAGAGGAGTAAAAGACTCAGTTATGCAATCTAAAACCATTAGTTTTAGGAATTAAGGAGTGACACCTGGGTGTTGGTTTGCTAAAGGCAAATAGACTGTTCACTTTGCAAGGGGGTTTTTAACTTAGCTTAGTGAATGTGGTGAAGCTCTGCAGACTTCCACTATCCAATCATGCACTGATTGTTTTTTCTTCCTTGTGCATGATTGGGTATTCTTTGCAGACTGAATTTTCATTGCAAGATGAATAGCCTATTTGCCTTTAGTAAATAAACCCAATAAGATTTTACTTTAAAGCTAGAAACAATAATTCACAGACCAACTATTTGTAGTAAATTGATGTCTAAAAACACAAATACTAATTCAGTCATCAACTAAGTGATGTCCATTTTATGGAATATTTCCAAGCATAGTATTGGCATAGTGTGGTTAGACTGATGGCTCTATGTTTTGAAACACAATAATACAATAGTTATACACTTTTCTGATTATGCCTACTGAAGGATTCATAAGTGATACCATCAATTTAGTAATGACCATCAGACATGACATGTATACAGTCATAGACCTCACTAAGTGGCCTTGTCTGATGATAATATTGCTACTCATATAATCATTTTGTTGCATACCATCACATTCCACTAATTATTTATGCCATCTTTTTTTTTTTAACTAAGTAAACATACTTGATTCTTATAATTTGTGTGTATGCACACTGGAAGATGTAAACTTAAAAGTTACGTCTTAAGCCGGCTATAGATGGTTCAAATGTCAGCCAGTTCAACAGGGATCAGCCAGGATTCAAACCATCTATGGAGAGGCTGCTTGATGATTTTTGTACAACTTGGGTACAACCAGCATGTAGTATTTTACAAGCAATATAGCCAGCAGTGCCCCCCTGCTGGGATAACACAATATCTCCATGGAAGGGATCCCCCCCATCTATTGTACGTTGTTGATGGGAGAAGTGAGCAATTTTCTATTCTGCAACCCATGGTTGCAGGAAAGAAAAATCACATCATCTATGGCTGGCCTTAACTTAACAAATTACATACTGTTTCAAAGCATAATCAGATTTAGATTTGCTCCATTACAGTAACTACCCTTTTAAGTCTATGGCCATCCTTAGAACTAAGAATTGAAATAACGCTACAGATCTAAATGGAGTTGACGTAAAAAGACATTATATTATTAAGGCAAAAGTAACAGGTACAGTTAAAGTCAGATAATCAATTTATATAGAGTAGTCTGATAAGGAAATTGCACAACATAACCTGAAATTTGAATATTTATTCTAAGCCCTGTAAGAAATGATTATTTCTATACATACACTATGAAAACCAATATCGCATATAAAAAGGACTTTGATGAGAATTGGATTTGTGTAGTACAATACATAAACTTTACAACGTTTAAGGACTGTACAACAAAGTCTATAACATTTGCCCTTTTTTTTATGGTTAACAGACATTAGGTAAAGATTATACTATGCTTGCATGTGCATTACATTCTTATATGAGGTCCTGTATCAGCTGCAAAGGATGGTAACAAGTTGTGATGAATAACTGTGCTGCAATTAAATCTGGATTATTAATGGATACGCTTAAATCTGTTACCTCTTTGTTTGCCTTGTGCATTCATTATGTGTGAATGTTATTTCAAATTGAGTCCTTCATTCTGTCCTTCAGAATTATTAATTCACCATAATGTATCCCAAGAGTCAACATCACCAGGATGTAACACCAGTCAAGAAGTGTGCACCCCCTATGGAAATACACACACTGCTCAAAAAAATTAAAGAAACACTTTTTATTCAGAGTATAGCATCAAGTCAGTTAAACTCCTGGGATATTGATCTGGTCAGTTAAGTTGCAGAGGAGGTTATTAATCAGTTTCATCTGCTTTTGTGTTAATGAAATTAACAACAGGTTCACTAGATGGGCAACAATGAGATGATCCCCAAAACAGGAATGATTTTACAGGTGGAGGCAACTGACATTTTTTTCCCTACTCATCTTTTCCGACTGTTTTCCACTAGTTTTGCATTTGACTAGGGTCAGTGTCACTGCTGGTAGCATGAGGTGATACCTGGACCCTACAGAGGTTGCACAGGCAGTCCAACTCCTCCAGGAAGGCACATCAATACGTTCCATTGCCAGAAGATTTGCTGTGTCATCCAGCACAGTCTCAAGAGCATGGAGGAGATTCCAGGAGACAAGCAGTTACTGTAGGAGAGCTGGACAGGGCCATAGAAGGTACTTAACCCATTAGCAGGTTCGTTACCTGCTCCTGTGTGCAAGGAGGAACAGGATAAGCACTGCCAGAGACCTGAAAATGACCTCCAGCAGGCCACTGGTGTGAATGTCTCTGACCAAACAATCAGAAACAGATTTCATGAGGATGGCCTGAGAGCTTGATGTCCTCCAGTGGGCCCTGTGTTCCCTGCCCTGCACCATAGAGCTTGTTTGGAATTTGCCATTGAACATCAGAATTGTCAGGTCTGCCGCTGGTGCCCTGTGCTTTCTCAGATGAGAACAGGTTCACCCTGAGCACATGTGACCGATGTGAGAGGGTCTGTAGAAGCCGCGGAGAACGTTATGCTGCCTGTAGCATCATTAAGCATGACCACTTTGGTGGAGGATCAGTGATGGTCTGGGGGAGGCATATCCATGGAGGGATGCACAGACCTCTACAGGCTTGACAATGGCACCCTGACTGACATTAGATATCGGGATGAAATCCTTTGACCCATTGTGAGACCCTATGCTGGTGTAGTGGGTCCTGGGTTCCTCCTGGTGCACGACAATGCTCGGCCTCATGTGGCGAGAGTATGCAAGCAGTTCCTGGAGGATGAAAGAACTGATACCATTGAATGGCCCCCCGTGCTTGCCTGACCTAAATCCAATAGAACAGCTCTGAGATATCATGTATCGGTCCATTCGATGCTGCCAACTTGCACCTCAGACTGTCCAGGAGCTCAGTGATGATCTGGTCCAGATCTGGGAGGAAATACCCCAGGACACCATCCGTTGTCTCATTAGGAGTATGCCCCGACATTGTCAGGAATGCATACAAGCACATGGGGCCATACAAACTACCGAGTACCATTTTGACTTGCTGCAATTACATTTTAGCAAAATGGACTAGCCTGTTGCATCATTTTTTTAGTTTGATTTTCAGTCCCCTGTAGGTTGATACTTTTCATTTCCAGCAAATGATGGGGCATCCTTACGTTTCTAACAGATTACCCAGTCCATATCAGTATTGATATCCAGCATGATATTTTTCCCCATTAGGATCTGATATGTTTTCAAAGTGTTCCTTTAATTTTTTTGAGCAGTGTATGTGGCCCATATAGTCAGCATCCTGTGTAATATCCAGTTTAGTCTCCCAGATGGACACTGCCAGTTAACATTAATTTTCCTTAGTTACATACCAAATAATATTGCATATTAAATTATTTCTATCCTAGGAATTTTTATCCTAGAAATGTGAGGTTTGGGTATAGGTGTTCAATAAAATCCAACTTCAGTCAAAGCTTTTGTGTTTTTGTTTTGGACAGAGTGCAAAATTCAGAACCTTTTACTGTATTTATTTGTGGTTGTTGGGACAAAAGATGATTGAAATGAGATTGACCATTTTTGAGAATACTATTTATACTGTATGTGGCTTTTTGTCCCAGTAACAAGGTAATGAAGTGAAATCTCCCCAATGGGGCAGGTAGGGAAAAACAGTAGCATTTACTGTCAGAGGATAAACCGCAGAAGAACTGGCATATTTTCAAACTCTCAACATGGTTGTGCTAATGTGCATGGAAATGCACACAGAGGTGGTGTACAGGTGCCTGGGTGCTCCCGTGCGAATGCTTGTGCGCATGTGCGTGTGCACGCAATCGCTCACACCTGTGTACCACGCAAAGCATGACAGATTATGGTGCCCAGTGGCCTATTTAAAAACTGAAGTTTGGCCCACATGTTGCTGGATAATCATCAGCCCCCTCTGTCCTGTGCTTCTGTGTTGCCATATCGTATTTCCCATTGCTGACCTGGCTTGCCCTTGGACCTGTCTTGACTCCTCTTTTGGCTCTGACCCTGGCTTTTTCACATGGACTTTGCTTGCTGCCTGCTTACTGTGTATGACCCCAGCTTGATCTTGACTACGCTTCTGTTCCTGTTCCTGACTGACCTCCTGTGCATGACCCTTGTTCTGGCTCCTGAATGCACTTCCTGTTCCACTCATCTGTCAAGATCCAGTAAATCTAGAGCAGCGGTCACTAAATGGTGGACCGCGGTCCTTGAACGGCCCCAGCAGTGCTGCCACCTGGACCGCCAGCCCACAATGACATATCTGCCGCTGAGCAGGGTGGTTGTCACGGCAACATGACATCACGTGTGCACCCTGCCCCTTTCAGCTCACTATCTCTCCAGCTCCCGCTCTCTGCCTGTAAACAAGCTTTCAGCAAGGATCCTGGCACAGCTCCTGTCTGCCCTCAAGGTAGGGTGTAGTCTTACAGGGGCACTCTGATAGGCACATTTAATGTTAAGGGGCACTCTGATGGGCACAACATAGAATGTGCCTATCAGAGTGCCACTAACAAAACATGTGCCCATCAGAATGCCCTTACTATAAATGTGCCCATCAAAGTGCCCCTTACCATAAAATGTGCCCATCAGCATGTCCCTTATTTTATGTCAAGGGGCATTCTGATGGGCACATTTTATGTTAAGGGGCACTCTGATGGACACAACATAGAATGTGCCCATCAGAGTGCCCCTTAATATAAATGTACTCATCAGAGTACCCCTTAATATAAAAGTGCCCATCAGAGTGCATCTTAACATAAAATTTGCCCATGACCATGCCCCTTATTTTATGCTAAGGAGTACTCTGACGGGCACATTTTATGTTAAGGGGCAATCTGATGAGCACATTTTATGTTAAGGGACACTATGATCTGCCCATTTTATGTTAAGGGGGCACAAATAGGCACATACTGTGGAAAGGGGCACTCTGATGGGCACATGTGATGTAAAGGGGCACTCTGATGGGGAAATATGATAGAAAGGAGTACTTTGAGGGCAAGGGGGCACTCTGACAGGAATATCTGATGTAAGGTGGCAATGTGATGGGGATATCTGATGTAAAGGGGCACTCTGATGGGGACAACTGATGTAAAGAGCACTCTGATGGGCACACCTGATGTGATGGGAATACATGATGTAAAGTTACACTCTGGTGGTGAAACCTAATGTAAGGGGGCACACTGATGGACACACCCTATTCAGACCTCGGCCAGAAGAAAATTTTAGTGACCAGACCTCCTTGAATTTTAATTCAATACTCCTGCTCTAGAGTGTCACCTGCCCTGCTGATATCTCTGCATGGTCAAGACTTCACCTGCACCCTAAAGTGTGATCTACCTTGCTGACATCACTGCATGGTCAAGTTTCCCTTTGGTGCCTCATCTACTCTTATCTTCAGGCAAATACATAACTGGAAACCTGTGTATATATATATATATTCTTTTCTAGGCTATCCAAAGTAAAAAAAAATGTATTGGCTGATACTGAGCTTTAAAGGGAATTTTAATACCAATAGTCATGACGTGGTTTTGGGTGAATTGTATTTTAACTGATTTGAACATTTTAAAAGTTCTTTAACTGATGTTTGACTTCTTTATTTTTTATTTGGTGTTCAAAATATTACTTTTAGAAATAAACATTTAAAGTAGATATAGATCTTAGCTAAGTGACACTTTTTTTTTGCATTCCAGTGCTGCTTATCTTCTGCAGCTTACTTGTATTCACTTCCTGTCTACATGCACGCCGGGAAGGACTGCATGGCATTTCCTAGGACAGGCTTCCAGATAGCAACAGTGGACCATGCTTGCATAATGTGTGTTGAAATGGATATTTGTAGTCTCCAATGGAAGCCTATTTGATGGGGTGACAAAGTGTACAACTGGCAGACAGGGGTAGAGCATTGTCACCTTAAAACAGGAAGTGTCTGTATAACAGTTATTATTTTAAAGCTGAACTTTATGCAAACAGCTAAATAAACACAGAAAATACATATATAGGAACTATTTTACCTGACAAAAGATTGTATTTCTGTCCATCATACCTTATATTTACAAAGCCCTTCCAGGCAGCAGTATACTGTGAACCCGGGCAAGAGTGATGGTGCACCCCTAGTGGATGTGTCCATTACACCTTGGGCTCATAGAAAGTAATTTCAGTAATGCTGGGCAACGTTTAACTTAACTTTTACTTAACTTAATTATTTCTGAAATCAGGACTTAGCATTTGTTCCTTTCTTTCATCTATGTATTTATTGCCTGTGGATAAAGTACTGCCTTCAACAATTAGAATCATCCCTGCAATTTCAATCCTGAATTAGAAAAAGGACAGCTAATATCTGATTGAATGTTATGTATGACAAAGACAATTTCTCTTTTGAAGATTAGAAGAAGGACAGCAAAATTTAAGAAATCCATTTATGAAATATAATGAAAAGTCCTCTCCATAAAAGGATATGTTTTGTACATATGTAATCTGAAAGCCATCATCTTTATTCAGCAGAGCCAGAGCAGAGAATAGCAAATATTGATGTTCCCTTGGTGTTCTGTTTCTCACCCTTAAGGCCTGTTTGTGACGTCATCAAGCACAACCAAAATTATTGAGTAGTGTTCCTATAATTACATTTTTCTATGACTTTTTATGGCATTTTAAATTGTGTGCATTTACAGTTACCATTTAGCTATTATAGTTCATCCATTGTTGTTTCATTTCAATCCACTTTTTTTATAGCAGTATGCTACGAAGCCTGCCACACATTGTTACTGCTGGAGGTTTCTTTTGGGGATAATACGCATATGTGATTTTTATCACAACAGCTTTTAATTCTTTCATTTAGAAAATAGATGCCTCACTCTCCAGATGTTTTAATGCCAGACACAGAGTCTTGCTGTGTTGTGGCTACACTTTAAAGCTACTTTTCAAAAATGAAATGGAGCCAGGCGACAAAAGACACAAATCTGCTTAAGTCTGGTTACGAAGCATATCTTTTTATGTTAGTGTAATGATATTGTTTATTTCTTGTCTTGCAGTTTTAGTGCTGCATTTGGCCAAAGTATTTTTCTGTGTGTTTCAGTCAAGTCTGTCATGTCATATAAAAGAAACAAAGCCAGATGTAATTATAGAAAAGGACAAAATGGATGCAACATGATAAAGGACAAGCCTTTCAATAGAACACTGAGCCATAACAGTCTCTTTGTTGCAATGCTTACATAGAATAAAAAAGAAAATGTGTTAATGTAGATCTGTTATTTTCACATTAGAATTATGACTACTGAGCAAGATACATTTTCACTTCTGATATTCTTTACCAAAAAATTGACGAGTTAAAAATAAATCTAAAAGTTTAAGACAGCAAACTTTTTAGGTTATAAACCACAGATCCCTATAGGAAAAGAACTGTCATGTACAGAGATGCCTTTTAATAAAATTAGATTGCAGTTATTTAGAAACACACACATACACACACATACAGGGGCGGACTGACCATTTGGAAACTCAGGCACTGCCTGAAGGCCTGGGGTCAGTAGGGGGCCTCATGAGATGCCCCTGGTACCTTTTTCATAGGCTTTTTTTTGAGTTTGGGCAAGCACACAGGGGCCCCATGATCCCCTATTGCCCGGGGGCCCCATGAGTTGTCAGTCCGCCCCAGCACACACACACACACACACACTTTCTTAACTTCCTTGTACACTTCATGCTTTATTTGCCCTGTGTGGTATTTACCATAGGTAGTCCAGTAGTGTTTTGTAGCACTGGGGATGATTATCTCTTTTAATAAAATCCTCAGCAACTCCTTTTACCAAAATACACCTGTACCTACAATCAATTTGATCCCACTAACTATTAGAAAATCAAAGGGATGTTCTAAAAACAAGTTTTTTTTTTCAATTAAATTCTACTGGTGTATGAATTGTAGGTTTTATATGCCCTACGGGAATAAGCCAATAGCAACTAATGCATGGCATAGCAGAAGTGATCTGTAGCTTACAACCCCTACGGAGGTGTTAGATGAGTATTCTGTGAGGGAACCCAATGTTTGCAGAGCTGTCAGGAATAGGGCAGCTTAATCCCCCAATTAATAAGAGATGCTTATGATTTATAAAGGCCTTAAGGCTTTTTGTGGAAATGCATGTCCCCTGTTCCCCATCAGCCAGCAGCATCTTAAGCTTCCCCTATAAAAGAAATAAGGAGACACCCCTACTGAGCTGCCATATTGACAAGGGAAGCAGAGAAGTTCTATGTCTGTGAAACTGTCCCTATTGCACATTGGCTCAGTAAAGTATTGAAAAACCACCAGTAGCATGATATACTTGTGATGTCTCTGCAGTGTATTCAGAAAAATGAGCAGCAGTATTTGAAAAAGGGTGTCAGTCAGCCTGCCCCTATTGTACAACCATGTTTATGAATATTTAATAAAATAAGGAAGCCTCATCATCTGACAGATGATGGTTGAGAATAATGTACATTATTTAGAAGATGCTGTCTGATAGAAGACAGGCTAGGAGATCATGGTATACATATAGTAAGGGAAAAATGGTAACATAGACTTTGGAGGACAATGAATAAAATCAAGTTCCTAACCTTGGCCTGTAACAATTGTGTGTAATAAGGGCATGAAACCTGTATGCGACAGCCATTTTAGTTTTTAATGAGCAATGATCTTCCTCCCCTCCCTTCTCCTGAACACTGGAATTTGTAGCTGTAACAATCTTCAAAAGAACCTCTTACCTTAATTAAAACACAGAGCTGGCCAGGCTGTAAACAGCTAATTAGTCTTGGCAGGATGTCTGTTTCCACTAACCATGGAAAACACTTTCCTCTGACCTATCATAAAACAATAATAACTCAGTCAAGCCATCACACATGACCTGTAAGGCCATTAAGACTCTAGGGATTCAGAGCATGCCATAAACGTCTATTCCGCAACTTAACAATTTCACATACATTTCATAGAATTCAACAGGAACAGGACACATTAATATTATGTATAGATTTGAATGGGGAATATCATACCAAACAAATCATGGTCATACATGACTATGTTAGCACATACGAAAGGGGAGAAAGCAGTCTCCTGCCACCTGGGTGACAAGTACACTGTGTTTGGTATCCCTGAGTTCAAAACATAATTCTGAATATTAATCTGCCATTTGCTAGAATACCACCTGCACATATTGGAAGTTAATAATATTAGTGTAGTGGTATTTGGGAATTGGTCGTAAACATAATGACCTCCTAGCACCCATCCCTTGAAGTGGATTATTGATCAGATGGTCTGTGTCCACACCCCTTTGATATCATAGAAAAGGGACTGGCAGGACTTGTTAAGATTGAGCTCTCGTTTAACATCAACCAAGGAAAATCTTAAGGGACTTGAGAGCCAAGGTAATATTTTTGCTTGGACAAAAGGCAAGTATTCTGCCTTCTTAACTCCTTTCTTTTATTTCTCTGTTGCATTATTGTTCTCTTTATTTCTTTGTAACATCCCTTTCTGTAAATATTTTAATTGCACCATTTTGACCTTTTTAGTAATAAACCCTATTTTGAAAAGTGTTGAAACTGTCTATAAAGCTTTTGGTGCAAACTAAAGAATCCCTGTCTCTTGAAGAGTGCTACTGTATATAATAACCCTCTGAATATACTTGTCTGTGGTGACAGTGTGTGTTACAGACTTTTTTGTTCGCATTTGTTCTTGCTAACATTGTGAAGGGTTGATAGTCCCAAACCTATCTGTTGGCAGTTTGGAGTTTGAAGGGTTAATTGCGTAATTAATTAACCCAGTGACAATCGCTCTCAGGCTGCTGGCACATAGATTGTGGTCCCGCGAACTGGAAAATCTTTGTGTAGGGTGCCGCTGAGAGTGGCATTGTTACAAAAGTGGCAGCACAATGTGAAATTGGCTGATCCTTTATCACGAGTTGGTGAGAAGGGCAAGGGTTTGGTATCGCGTTCGTCACATGGCAATTTTTTTAAAGTTTTGTTGAAAAAAAAAAACAGTTATTTCAAGGTAAGCTACACAATTTGTGCTCAAACGTTTGCACATCCTGGCAGAAATTGTTACATTTTGGCATTGATATTGAACATTTTTTATTTAACCACTTCAAGTCCGGACACTTTCACCCCCTTCCAGTCCAGGCCAATTTTTAGTTTTCAGCGCTATCTCAGTTTGAATGCCAATTGCACGGT